AGGGAGTTCAAAGGTATTTACCTATATTTCCCTAATAAAACCTGACCTGACCGGCATGTGGGCCGGAACTTGTTGAGCTTGCATTACGCGTGGTGGAATTGGACGTGATGATGGCTCGGCCATCTGGTTACCCGGTGTTGGCGTAAGACGTCGCGGTGGCCTGTGCGTTCCCCAAATGGTGATTTGCTTTGACCAAATTGAGCCTCAGCACCGAATATGGATTGGGCAAGTCGTTGCACTTGTTTATAGACTGGGCCCCTTAAACCATGACGCAGGTAATTCGTGGCTGAACCGATTATCACCTCTTGCGAGAAAATTTCGGCCTCACCAAAATTGAATGTGTGGCCCGGGCTCGTCGAGTGAGCCACGACTTGAGAATTTGCATCATTTTGCCACACTGCTGCCGCGTGTTCTGCAATTCGCGTCTGGAGAAGTCTGCCAGTTTTGCCGACCTATTTGCTTTGTCAGAAACTGCACCAGATCCTATAGATGACTCCAAATGATCTTGCCGTGGCAGTGGATCTTTCGGTTTCCTTTTCTGACGCCTTATAGTTGCCTTAGGCCTGTGTGGGACTCTAGCTATTGAATCTTCGTGTCAGTTATTTCATGGGACTCGTGTGTTCGCTTGGATTGGCAACAAAGCAATTTGTTGCTGCTGCCAGCTATTTTATTTATAATTTGTCCATTTTGTGACCCAGCATACCAGAGCTCAACCGTTCAACATGCCTCTTGTATGCTTTCCACGCTCATACCAACTTGGAATCTAGTATGTCATTCATTAGTGGAGCGCCGGGAGTTACATGTGCAACTACTCAACTGCTTTATTGGTTTACATGTTATGCGGGAAAAATGCGCCCATTTTCGTGGGTACTCTGTGGAGCAAATAGTTTTCTACTGCTTACAAAATTCGTTCGAAAAAAAATATCATCTGAATACTCAAGAATCAACAAGGCCATATTGACTCTCAATTCCTTCTGATTGCCTTTTTTAGTTAAGCTTTAAGGATTTCCCAGATGTCTTGGTCGAATTTTCACAAAACAGTGACTTCTATCTATCGGATTACTGAATGACTAAATAGTATGCCTGGTGGGAATGATTACTCATCTCACAGAAAGGCCACGAGTCCAACTTGTGCCTCTGTCATGAGAGCGGGACGTAATTATCGATTTTTCCTCATAGCTGATTGGTCCATTGACTCAGCTATGTCCCTCGCGTTCCCCCTTAAGTACATTCAGCCTTTGTGTGAGAATGACTTGCGCTGCTTGTCTGAATACACACGCTCTCTCTGGCCGACTGGTCTATTCACCGTCTCTCATACGGGCTCTTGGGAACCGTTCGTGTTAATTAGAAGTACCAAGTGCGGGTCGTAACAATGCCTAATAGAAAAGTGTACTTCAATTGACCCGGAAGCAAGCGACCCAAGCTAAGATCATCTTTTTCCTACCCTAGGTTCAGGCCATGAAAAAATAAAGGCCGCAACCGGCGGATGGTCCTTTCTGCTTCATTTTCACGTTCAGCTTAACTTTCGCAGACTCGAACTACCGAACTACGGTTCGTGGTAATTGATCAGGTGCAGTTAACAGCACCAAAGTTGCCGCGCACGGATGGAAAAACCCCCTGTTTCAGTGGCGTCGCTAGGGTGCATGCGTTCGGTTTACAAAGATATTAACTTCCGAGCATCCGACGACGATGATTTACACCAACGGATGTTGTCTCTGCCAAAGACGACTGGAATGCTATTCAATCAGGAAATGCCTGTTTCCCACCAGAAAATTGCGATCGCGATTTAGGCATCAGTAGCTCTACTGCTTGCTCTCCTGTTAAGTCTGTTTGACAGATTTTAAACATTGAAAAAGAGATCTTTATTTTCTTGTTGTGATCCACACACATCTTATCGTGAAAAGCGCTTTAGGTTATTCTTCTGTTGCTTTTTTACTTCAACTTATAATCTTGTCTTCCGCACCTCGCATACGTTTCAATTAAAGGAACATAAATTTGAAAAAAAGGTATGAGATTACGGGATAAGAATCAACCAGAGATCATGTTAGCGCTCACCGTAATGAGCTTCTGTGTGTTAGTTTAAGTTTTAGAGACCTCAGGGCCGGCTCTCCCTTGTCAAAGCGTTAACTGGCATTATCGATCAGCTAACACGTAAACTCATTCGGGTGAGCACTAGCATGATCTTTGTCAGGGAACACAGTCCTACCTAAAGAAGGGCGCAAGTTATTAGTGCGTCTCCAACTTTGCAATTTACGTTGGCGCGTAGTAATTCATTGGGTGCCGTACCTTTACGCACTCTAAATCGCACCCCATAAGGCATTTGAAGGGTACGTGGCGCGCACCAAGGCCAGTGTTGAGCCACACAGCTTTCCAGACGTAAACAATTTTGGTTTTTTTTCTAGCTGTGCTCGTCCCAGCCCTCTCCCAGAAGTCTAGAAGCACACACACGAATCACTCAGTAAACATCCGGAATATGCACTTAGGACGCTTATCTCTCATTGCGAAAGGTGGGGACGTTAATTGGTAAGA